ATTCTATGAGCGTAAAATGCAGTAGTCATTCAATAAGATCGAAATTTTTCTGGATCACATTTTACGTAAATTAAAATTTTGATTTAATAACTGGAAAGTATTATCACAGAAATCAAATAAAAATTACAAATTGGTGTAGTGTACAATACAGTACATCGCAAGTTCTTTTTCAATAAATACACGTAAAAGATGAATAATTGAACACTCTACAATATAAATATAAAATTTTAGTTGAATGAATATTTTGCCTTTGAATTTTACTTACAAGGCGTCCTCCAGAAGCTATGGATAGACATGACATACGGAAATTGCCACTACCGGCAGCTGCGCGCCAATGTAGGCCTATGTGTGAGATTCTAACCGGGGGTACGGAGATCGTAAAACTCGTGTACCGCTTAATCGGCGACTAATCGTTAGATCAGTTCTCGGTTGTCTACAAGGATGGCTTTACTACTACAACTATCGAGTGTTGGAGGGACTTATGTTTCAAATAAAAAGGCGGAGAGCAGTGGTGTTCCGTGGGTGTTAGCCGCCCGGGGCGGAGGAAAATCTAGGCCGCCCCCTTACTTAGGTATTGCAATTTACGAGACCAAATTTTAGCGTTGTCTGAGGAGAAGCAATGAAAACATCGTCGGTAGTGCAGCGATTTATATGATCGCGAACAAATAATACAGGCGAAAAAAAAGGTCAACAGGATTTGCTAGACCCCCTTGACTGAAAAAGTTGCTAGTTCACCCAGCGAGCCGATTCGCGGACTGTCCAGATGTCCGGCGCGATGCAAGTATGGATTAGGATGTTTCAAAATCTTACGAAATATTTTTACTTATTGTGAAATTTTGCAGCCCCTAAAAAGTGCCGGGCGGCACTTTTTAGGGGGCGTGGGGGGCGGACCGCCCCCCCCACGGTACGCCCCTGGCGGAGAGAGATAATCTCGTAATCACCCTTCTCCTTGTCAGGATTTTCCGACACCAGTTAATCGTCTTTTAACGCGGATTAACACGCGTATTCGAGGCAAATCGAATCAGGGAGGAATTTAGTCATTAATGAGATCTTTTTAAAGATATACAAATGGAATTATCTCACTCTTTGAGAACTATCTACCATATCTAATAACTTATTCTACCTATCTGGCGGAGAGAGAGTTTACAAAATCTTTTAACAAGGTATACTACCTTCACAAATATATTCTTTTCTTCGTATGAGGAGGGTCTTTCTTGAATGTATTCTTCTTTTAGCACCTTGAATGGTCAATTCGGTCCAATATGAATGGCTACTTCTGTCGATGAACTATATACAGTAAGGTCTCGTTTTATGCGGATTTTTTTATGCGATTTTGAAGTTGTGCGGTTTGTATTTCATCCAAAATTTTTTTGGACAAACATACATATAGGCTAGTTTAGGAAGCCCGCGTATAGACAGTCTCCAAAAATCGTGGGACGCTCAAAGCTCACTCCATTTGTTCGACTGACATATAACCTTTATGGATGTAAAGGACAGCTAGATCTACCTTAATCGCTTTAGTTCCTAGCAATTTTTGATATAAATGTAATTAAACATTAAAAATACTTAAAACTAAAAAAAACGAAAGAAATGCGTTAATTTTGAAGAAAAAGCTTCAAAGTTTAACTTCCTTTGTCTTGCCCTTCTGTGAAATTTAACACCGATGAGTCAGTTTATACATCTGGATGACCTTGAACACAGCTGGAGTTGGATTTCCCGGGGCATTCTCATAAACGTCGCGGGAGGACAAGGGTTTAAAGTAGGGTGAAGCTGGCCGTATATTTTTTAATATTTTTAAAAAATTTGGAGACTTAAAAAACATTCCAAAAATTCAAAAAAAAAATGTAAAACTATATTACTTTTCAATAAAATTAACTGAATTAAGTTTGAATACAAGTTTATTTTAAGCTTTTATATGAATTTCTTTCAGACATTCAAAGTAATTCATTAAGCAGACTATTTCTTTTAATATCTGCAAACTTTTTTATGAGGTTTTAAGTTAATTTTAACCCGTTGTTTTGGTTTTATGCGATTTTAGAAAATTACGGAACGTATCCCTACTTTTTCAAGACAAGTAAAGTCTTTTTTTATGCGAATTTTTTATATGCGCTTTCCTGTAGAACGTATACCACCGCATAAAACGAGACCTTACTGTATTTCGTATGTCTAATTCTTTCAATAAACTGCGTGTATAGTACGGCAATAATTTCTTTCGATAAACCGCCGGAATTGTGTGGCAATATCCCTTTCGACGAACTGCTCCGAATGGCGGGAAATTGTCTTTTTTATATCGGCCTTCTCTGACGGCCAAGTAACGTGTGCAAAGGCCACATTTTTCACTCATCTCGTGAATCGGCCGTAGGAAAGGAAATCAATTTCCTTTCTAAAAACGAAAGTTTCTACTCTTCGCATTTCTGACTAATTTTTCAAAGTTTAAAATTTATTATTTTCTATTTAAAATTAATATTTTCTTTAAAATTGTCTTCCCCTTTCGGATCCTCACATATGCCAATGTCTACGTCCTCGGTTAGCATCTTCCACCTGGTTTCCGTCACCTGTATCTTTTTTGGTAGTCGGTAACGGAATGAGCTTCCGACGAAAAATCGCCTCATTCTGGGCAATCTCTCCCACTACCAGTGAATCTAACCATACCAGTTTGTCGTTATTGTAGAACAGACGACCCCACAAAATATCTACCAGTTTTATCAGTCTCAGCCGTAAGTTCACCGAACGTTTTTATCAAGCTTTTTCGAGCCCCTCTTCGCCATATCTATGTTCTTTATTGATGCAAATGCGTTAAATAGAAAAAAATGGAAATAATCACAACACCAATAGATTTTCATTTGCAGTTTTTATCTAAAATGCAAATGAATATTATTCTAAAATAAGTAATCTATATATATATATAAACGGACGTGTGTGTCCCCTATATTTCACTTTTCAGCCAAAACTACGCATCGCACATGAATGGTGTTTGTATGTGGTAGTAGCCGCAAGTCTCCATTCGTACACTATGGTGGTTGCGTCTCGATAGCTATAAGGGTGCGGGAGATATGGGGTTGAAAGTGGTTTTCTATTTCAATTTTAAAAATGTTCGAACCGTTTTAAATTTGAATTTGTTATTGCATATTGGTTCGATTATAGAACGATTGTAAACGTTCCAGAAACGTTGAAAATAGTTCGTTTGACTGGACATGAACAGGAGACGTTCAGAAATAGAATCGGGACCGGGTCTCTAATTAGTCTGGAAACGGGGGACCTAATTCTTGCATTCTGTGAAAACGGGTAAGATGGCTATAATGTAATTATCTTAATCTTCACTATCGTTACTTTTTGCCCACAAATAAAAACCCAGCGAAGCGGATCCTTGCAGCTAAATTCTAGATTACTTAGAAAAACAGTCTTATATATATATATATATATAAACTATATTACATACAAATGTACGAACAAATAAAAATCCAGCGAAAGCGGGTCCTTGCAGCTAGTAATTATATAAAAGTTACGCGTTTTGTTAAAATTAGATTAATTAAGAGAAAATGTATGGCGGAATTTCAACAAGTCAGTGGATGCATATTGCTAAGGAAGTAAAGATGTTGCATGAGTTATTCGTATTTTACAGTAATAAAAACGAACATTAATTAATATAAATTAATAATTTATTTAATATATAGAAATCGTCACATATATTTACGCAAATAGATTTTTTCATTATGTTTTCGCGATTCTCCTCTATCGGGACAGAATAAATAATTATGTGGGGCTTTCTTTTCTTGGGGAGTTTAGTCACGATATTAGGTAGTTTTTCTTTAATACAGTTCGAGGTGCAAGATCCTCCTTCTTCTTTATTTCTGTAGCTACTCCCCCACAACCGATTTTCCTAATTTTTGTCGACGCCAATTTTTATATGTAATGGCCGAATGTTCTATTGCAATAGTTTGCGAATCCGATTGCTGTCATTGTTTTCATTTTTGTCGTAAACCAGGAGGACATTTGAGGAACTTCTTGTTGTTTTAATTCCCGTGACCGTTTTTCCGGACTGACGAACGCTGTTGTAAGATGGGCGTTGGCGAAAAATAGGGCTTTTATTGTAATCAAATTTATCAACTTTTTCCAAAATGGCATGTTGTCTATCAATTATATCTTGATTGAAATCCCTAGCTAAAAATTTGTTCAAGTTTGTTATTAATTTCTTCGATTGCTAAGCCATTCATTTTAAATACCACTTCATTCTGCTTTTCAATTAGCTTTTTGTTTTGCTCACCAGTTAATATTTTTCTATATTTTCTGTCATATCCTCAAAACGCTGGAGAACAAAATTGTTGTCATACAGGTCAAAAATGACCTAAATTGTCAAAAATATTTTTAGTTGATAACACACAATTTCTCTTGCTTAAATTTCCTTTCCACAATACAGAATCATAAACACAATAGCGAAGAATGTGATGCCAAAGGTCAATAATCTTAGACCCAAATAACAAAATATTTTTAAAAATTTTAATTTCAAGCGGAGGTTTCCCTAATTTCAGTCTTACAACAGTACCAAGCACTGAACGTTCAAGCTTAAATAATCTTTTGAAATATCTTAATTGAAATTTCTTAAATTTTTCAAGGGTCAGCAAATGCATATGATATACATCCCGAAATCTGTTTACCAGGATCAAGGAACATTAATGCGACGTACGTAAAGACAAATGCACCACAACGCTTCCGAATAATGTACCGCAGTTGACGGACAAAACTCATTAGCGAGGTTGCGGCCGACGTTTTTTACGCGAAAACGTGTATGTCGGACATTCAGCGCTGCCATCCTGAAAGCCTAGAAGTTTGACAATGGCGTTTGGAATGTCGAGCATGATTCCACTGATGTTCCAAACGCCATTATCAAACATCTAAGCTTACAGGATGGCGGCGCTGAACGTCCGACGTACACATTTTAGCATTGAAAACTTCGGCCGCAACCTCGTTATTAAATCCTCCAAGAACCAACACTGGAATTACTCTAGAAAAAATAGCCGTATACAGAAATACTATTAAGAACACACGTATTAATCATAAGGATGCAGAAAGTTTATCAACAGCATGCAAAATTTATTATACACCGCGACAGGAATAAAAGTACACAGTAATTTATTATTATATAATCGACGAATTTAGGGTTTATTGTAATTGTTTATATTTCTTATGTTATATTACAATGCATTATATATTTTTGCATACTTTATTATTATTTATTTATGTTATTACAATTGTACGTCACTGATCAATAATTCGAACACTGATAAATTTAAATTTTAAAAACTATTCTTTGATATGTTCGTTCTTGATATGCTGCACGGATCGCGGAGAACGTTAGAAAATGAAAAATTTTTACTTGAACTTTTTATTTTTACATTTATTGCAGATAAGAAATTTTATTATTGAAAGCTTATCGAAAAAGTTTCATTGATTTACTCATATTTATTTTTGTGTATTCAGCAATTACACAACCATTCAAATGATTATTTCCTATGGAATATTAGAACTGATATTTAATTTAATTATTATATATTTGCAGATGGTGAGTAGATAAATTATTTCTTCCTTTCTTGAATTATGCGGCGCTTTTCAAAAAAAAAAAAATGTTCTGTTCGACATAACATTCGTTTCAAATATAATGCATCTCCCCACAAGTAGGAAATTATAACTGTAGGCTAATTAAATCAATGGAACAAAACTTGAGTGAATAAAATCATCGAATAATTGTAATTTGTCTGTACTTTATAAACATATAGCATGAACTTTAGACTACGTATTTTCACTAAAAAATTGAGAAAATTGCTTTTTGGAAAACTGGTTGCGTATCTTGGATTTATTCTTAGTTGGAGCAGATACAGGAATTTATTCTCCGCTGAAAAACCTTTATTTTCAAGAATCCTTTAAACTAACTCAAAAACTTCAACCACTCTCTGGGGTTACCATCAAACATCAGCAATTCTAACTTTGGCAAGCGATACTGTGATTTCGGACTTGCCGATGACTCCTCCGCAAAACCTCTGACACTTGCACTGTCTACGTTCTTGGTTAGCATCTTCACCTGGTTTCCATCAGCATATATCTTCTTTCGTAGTCGGCAACGGAATCGACATCGGACGAAATNGGCCCCTCCAAGAGCGAGGCCCCGGGCGATTGCCTTGCTCGCCACCCCCTAAGGCCGCCACTGCTTGCACTGTCTACGTTCTTGGTTAGCATCTTCACCTGGTTTCCATCAGCATATATCTTCTTTCGTAGTCGGCAACGGAATCGACATCGGACGAAATATCGTTCAAATTCTGAGCAATCTCTCCCGCTATCAGTGGATCCAACACTACGTCGTGATAGTAGACGAGACGACCTCACAAAAGATCTACCAAGGTTTTATCAATCTTAGCCGTAAGTTTACCCAACGTTATGGTCAAGCTTATTCGAACCCCTCTTCGCTGTATCTAAATTTCCGTAACTTATATCATTAAGTATCCTGTCGGCTGTAACACCACATTACGAGGTTCTTGATTGAAACCAGACATGGCGTAAACAAAACGTAAGGTTTCTTTACCTTTGAAATATACAGTCAGATAACAGCACAGTACAAGTTGGCAGAGACTTTCCTCCATTAAAATAATGTGAAAACCCAGCTGAAAAATAAACATCGGCCTCCATATTCACCGCTAGGGGCGCCCTAATAAAAAGCGCCAACAATATAATTTAAACAATTGTAAAATCCGATTGTTGTTTACAAGCGATTGTTTTCGGATGCAATTTTTTCGAAAGCGAGATAATTTTAAGAAAATGAATGCTGAAAGTAAGTTAAACTATCTGATTATGTGTGTAATTATACACATTAGTATACAGCGTGCCCATAATGCGATAATAAACAATGTTAGTGTCATATTTAAATAAGAGCTTAAAACATGAATGAAATTCCTATAAAGTGTATCACGATGAGCATCATTGCTGCATTATTTGCTTTCAATTTAATGTTTAATATCATTAATAACTTTTGGATTATAAATCAAATCTTAATTGTCTTAAAGGAAGATGACGGGATATGTTTTACTTTTCATTGGTGGAGATGTATTAAATAAACAAATATGGAAATAATCACAATACCAATAAATTTTCATTTGCAGTTTTTATCTAAAATGGAAATGAATATTATTCCAAAATAAGTAATAATTACATAAAAGTTACGCATTTTGTTAAAATTAGATTAATTAAGATTGAAAATGTATGGCGGCAATTTCGACAAGATAGTGGATGAATACAGCTAAGGAAATAAAGTTGTTGCATGAGTTATTCGTATTTTACAGCAATAACAACAAACAATAATTAAAATATGTTAATGATTCATTTATTTAATTAATATAGAAACTGTTAAATATTGTTAAATAACCAATGCTTAAATATAAATAATAACAACGTAGACATTGAAATGAAGAGATGATAAGCAAAAATTTTTATTTCTGATATTTAAGTTTTTTTTTCTGTTCATGACATACTTAGTATTGAACAAATTTTATGCGAATTACAAATGTGGATTGTATTTAATATGCTTTTAATGGATTCTATCTCTGATATGCTCACATAGAGATATATGTGAGAGATAATTGGAGCCATATCGGTTGTGGTTCCAACCTCTGAGATGATACCCGTTGTGAGTCATAGGGTATCTCTCGGTACAAATTAAATATTTTATTATTTATTAATACAATTCATAATTACTGTAATACCGTTATTTATAATACCAGTCAATACCATAAACTTAATACAGTTTAGCAATTACGTAGAACTTGATCACGACTTGAAACTTCATTACTTACAATTTATTGTTTCATTAATACAAATAAGTGTATTATTACAAAATAAATAAATAATAATTCGGAAATATTTCTTTACAGATTTTCAGTGCGTTTCTAATGAAAGTTATTCGTCATTTGGATATAATAATTATGTTGTGTATGCTTATCAGGTGAGTGTATCTGGAAATTCTAATTTACGTCTTAGATAAAGTAAAGTAAATAATATCTAAATAAAATATAAACTCAAATCGCTTGCCAAGGAAGTCAAAAATGAACCCTTAGCAAGCATTTTAAGTTTGCTGTTTATGTCAAGTTGGTGTTAATTTGCTTTAGTTTATAAAAGCTAATATTAGGACTTTTTAATATATAAAAATTTAACAGACAGTCGAGAATTTCTAAACATATATCAGACTAGCAAACCGAACAAAATTAATTACTCCATTATCCTTAACACCTACAGTTTTATCTTTTATTGAGACATGATTTACGAAACAAGTCCAACGAACTTGTAACAGTTATTTCGGCAATGAGAATTTTATATTATTAGAAAATTTAATGAATTCATATTAAATTTTAACTACGTAAAAATACTATTTCATTTTATATCAATATATTTATGTAATATGAAATTCACAAAAAAGTACAATAATCTTACAATAGTAAATTCATAAAAACAAGAAAAACAAAGAAATTTAAATGATTTAATCATTTTTAATGAATTTCATTTAAATTTAAAACTTGGATTAACGAAAAGGAGCAACTATAAGTTGTGTTCCATACCTGAAACCGTTTTCTAGAATTGTTTGAGTATGCTGGTTAAATTTCGTAATAGAAAACAGAGAAAATTACAATTAATGCTAATAATTGCCGTAAATCATAATAAAATACTGTGATGAACGTGATGTACAATGAAAACATCTCTAGAAATTAGAATGAAGTGGGACCAAAAATGCATATTTATTTGTAAAATTTTCTGCTTTCATAATATTTCTTGTACAAAAAAATGTAAAAATTATTTTCAATGATCGATTTTCTCTTACATTAGATTAGTGAACACGTGTATAAATAGATAGAGTAACATCTTTCGATTACTCCAAATCATATTTTACTTCGGAGAAAAAGTTATTACACCTTTCAGTAGACACATTCCTGACTTAAAGTTAAATTTACTTTAAAAAATAATTAAACACTATCAGAGAAGTTTGGAAGAAATTTTCTCAACTTGAGTCATATGTGTAATATATTAATGTTATTCTCATTAATTAAAATGAAAAATGGGACAGTTGATATTTTATACCTTTATACAAGTACACTTTATATTATGAAAAGTATTAACTGTGTTTAAATAAATTTTATAGAATGATTTAAGTTTAATGAGTATAAGTTATTTTGAATATTGTCCTTATCTCATATTTCTTTCTAAAACGAATAACTAATATTTAATTTAATGACATATATTGATAGATTATTACATATACAAACGTCAGATACGAAACAAAAGTAAAATTTACTAATGAGCAATTTCTTTTCTGTTATTTCAGTATACATTATTCTATGTGCCATATGATTTGTGGTCACAAATGCCTGAATATGGGCCGACTACAGACTTTTCTCAAAGTGGAATTCTGCCAGAATATCAGCAGTATGAACCTCAAGTGGGGGAATTTGCATATCGGTCACAATCAGAATTCATGCCTTATTGGCCGTCTCCTGAAATGGCCGAATATGAAAGACAAGCAGATACGACTAGTTATTGGCAAGTTCCTGAATATAGTGGATATGGCTCTCAATCAGATAGAAATGAATATATGTCAGCGCCAGAAGTAACTGAATGTGGGCCGCTGCCGTATGAAAGTGAATATTGGGCAGGTCCGGAAAATGTTGGATATGGAGCATATTCCAATACAAATGAATATATGCCAACTGCAGAAAATGTTCAATGTGGAACTTATCCGGTTATAAATGGATATTGGCAAGTTCTTGAATATAGTGGATATGGCTCTCAATCAGATAGAAATGAATATATGACAGCGCCAGAAGTAACTGAATGTGGGCCACTGCCGTATGAAAGTGAATATTGGGCAGGTCCAGAAAATGATGGATATGGAGCATATTCCAATATGAATGAATATATGCCAACCGCAGAAAATGTTCAATATGGAGCTTATCCGGTTATAAATGGATATTGGCAAGTTCCTGAATATAGTGGATATGGCTCTCAATCACATCCATCGCCAGAAGTAACTGAATTTCGGCCACTGCCATATGGAAATGAATATTGGGCAGGTCCAGAAAATGTTGGATATGGAGCATATTCCAATATAAATGAATATATGCCAACTGCAGAAAATGTTCAATACGGAGCTTTACCGGTTATAAATGGATATTGGCAAGTTCCTGTATATAGTGGATATGGCTCTCAATCAGATAGAAATGAATATATGTCAGCGCCAGAAGTAACTGCATATGGGCCACTGCCGTATGAAACTGAATATTGGACAAGTCCAGAAAATGTCAAATATGGGGAGAATTCGGATATAAATCAATGTTGGCCAGATACACAAACTATTGGAGATGGAGCATATTCCGATATAAGTGAATATATGCCAACTGCAAAAAATTTTCAATATGGAGCTTATCCAGTTATAAATGAAGATTGGACAGCTCCAGAAAATACAGGATATAAAACATATTGCGATATATATCACCAATGGCCAACTCCAGAAGTATTTGAATATGGTCAGCAACCAGATATAAATAAACACTGGACAGCTGCAGAAATTTTTGCAGATGAAACTCAACCAAATATTAATAGAAATATGCCAGTTACAGAAAATAATACATTTGGGCAACAACCTATTATAAACGAAAGTTGGCAAGCCTCAGAAATAATTGATTACGGGCAGCAACAAAGTTTAACTGAATATTGGCTGCTTCCAGAAATAAATATGTATGACTATCAGCAGCCGGTAGAACTTCAGCATTACTCGCCGCCAACTGAAGTGTCAGAATCTACCGAAAATGGAAAGCTGCAGTTTGAACTTCCTGAAAACGAGGAACAAACAGAATGTCTCAAATATGACTCTACAGCTCATAATTCTGCAAATCCATTAGAACCAAAGTCACATCTTTCATCAGAAACGCGTCATCAGCAACTTAAAGGTAAATTTTATCAATAACATTCTTCTAATAAAGCCATAGAAATGAATTAATATTCAAACAACTATAAGAACAACTGTATTCCATATAAATATTTGAGAACTAGTGATAGATAAGGATAAGACAAGGCTGCATCTCAGTGGTCTTTGCTTGCATCTACAGTTATCAGTCTAAGTCAGAATGTGTATAAAAATTTTAATTAAAAAATGTTAATAAACCGATTTAAATGATTAAAAGTAGATTAACAAATATCAATAAAAAAGTAATAAATCGATAGCATAAGCATCAGAAAGAAGTATGTAGAAATCTATGACCTATCATCTCATTAGTTACGGTTGGTTGTTGTTAACAGCTTCGTATGGTTTTGTAATTACACCTTTCAGCAGATTTATAAAAAATTAAAGCACAACTATACATTAAACATGAAAGTTTTAGTATTTAATCTATAAATTGTAACTTAATCCTTTCTATATATCAGCAGTTTTAATCACTAATCGAAATGTTATTGCATATTTACTCTTTTATCTAAATTATATTATTTATCAATAATGCTGGATATACTTTACTCACGAAAGTACAGTATTTATTTGCTGTTAACGCTTTCAACTTTCCGTAGATATGTGTTTTATGAAATAAGCGTTTAGATCTAATTTGAGAATTATACATTCGATTTCAATGTATAATAATAAAACTCAGATATGATTTATAAATAATTAAAATATGTAAACTACAGATATTAAATAACCGTATATCAACTTGTCTGACAATACCAGTATTAACTTAAGTAAACATAACTTTTCTTCATGATATCCATTCATTTTTCTATAAAAAAAATTGTAAGCATTGTTTTGATCCCTTTCTATTTATGTTAGATTATGTTTATTTAGCTCTTATTTCCACTATAATTACAATAAAGAATAAAGTTCATTCAAGAAATTTTGAGAATAGTATATAAGAATATAGAAATTTAAACAATATTGTTAATAAATTAGGATCAAAACATTGAATTTAACATTAACAAAATAAATTTTCACAAACAACGAATTTTTATAACACGGTTTTGTAACGCACGTTTCAGATTAACAGATGTTCATATTTTTTTTCTCAGAATGTACTAATGAATTCTGTTGAGCTTTCCATATAATGACCTACTAAACAGTTAACTATTTTATTTAAATATTGCATGAAAAATCATTAATATGATACTTCATACTTTNAATATTGTTAATAAATTAGGATCAAAACATTGAATTTAACATTAACAAAATAAATTTTCACAAACAACGAATTTTTATAACACGGTTTTGTAACGCACGTTTCAGATTAACAGATGTTCATATTTTTTTTCTCAGAATGTACTAATGAATTCTGTTGAGCTTTCCATATAATGACCTACTAAACAGTTAATTATTTTGTTTAAATATTTCATGACAATCATTAATATGATACTTCATACTTTTATAATGCATTTACACATAACACAACATAATATAATGACTTTTTTTACTATAATATAAAATGATATATGCTAATAATGTTTTCATCTTTGCCGTGCTTTAAAATTATTAAAAAAAGATACACATAAAAAGTTGAATATTCTCAAATAATTTTCAAAAACAGCTTTGATAAGTACAGATTCGATATATTTATTCGATGTATACAATTTTAGTTTTTCTTTCATTTATCCAACTTTTATTGCTTATGTAAGTCTTGTATTCTCCTAAACTGATTTACTAAATTATTTTTTATGCTTTTCTACTCTTTAGTTTCTGAGTTTCAAGTAAAAGACTCTGATCAAATTCAAAACTACGAAAATCACTTAGAGCAGAGCAGCTGTGCAGAATGTAATTCAGAGAAAGACTTAAAAGACGACAAAGACGAAAAAGTGTCTGAAAATATAAGTACAAACACCACAAGTGAAGAAACTTCTTGTGAACTAGATGCTACAAAACAATTTCCTATTGTAAGTTGAAATTTAATTAAAAGCATTTCAGAAAATTTCTTAATTCTGAAATTAAAACATTGAATATTGATAAATACACGTTATTATCGTATTAAATATTATTAAAAATACGATTATACTTGATATTTAATTCCGTATAAATTACTTATGTACTATCATATGATTTTACTCGCTCTTTTATTTTTAAAGTTAATATGTTATTAAAATATAAAATATCTCCTGTAATGAGTGCTTGTAAGAATAACAAAACATTTATCAATTAACTTTGACATGAAAGCAGTTATTAAAACAGAACGTAAATTAAAGTGAATAAAAATATCAAGTTTGAAAAATATATTTACATGATGTGAATAATAAATTATATACCGGAACTTTCATTCGCATAAAAATATCAATGATTAAACGTTTCATGTCTAAGGATTCTTAATGCAAAACAAGTAATTTTTAATAAAATATGCAAAGATGATTCGTTGCATAGACGGAAAAACGATAAAAATAAATTTATTATTGCGAATAGTGTTTTAATTTTTTTTATTAATGTAGGTTAATATATACAATATCAGTAATATATTGCTCATTAGATTTTCAATCACTTTATGGTGACTAGGAACATATTAAATTTGCTTGGCTATTACTTTACAATAAAACTATTAAATGTTTATTAAATTAAACTTTAATTAATGTTTAAAAAATAATTAGAAATCTTATTTTCAGAAGAACGTGCCAGAAACTCCATTGTCTCCAGCACAAATCACATCGATCGTAAACGGCGGTTATCCACTACGACCGTTATATAGAGCGTTTCTGGAGCTGGAAGAAAATTCGTTAGTATGTGATGTAATATATGAAGAGGACGAGTTTAACTATGAAGACGATCTATCGGAAACATCTGATGATCTGTCTTATAGCACGGAATCAGATACGATGTCAATTGAAGATGAAGTTCCTGATACCATAAACGGAAACAAAGTATCTGACGATTGTACTATGTATGAAAATATTATAATAGTTCGAGATCATTTGCCGGTTCACCAAACATGTGAATTAGTATTTATCAGCCCAACATCGTCTTCCGTTGATGTCGAATCAGACAAATCTGATTTAACAACAGAAATGTACGAAATTTGTGACGAATTACCTGCGGAAAATGACAAAAACCTTGCAGACGAATTATCTTCGATGGATAATTCTAGAAAAATAATTGAAGAAAATTTAATTAAAGAATTATCTGATACAAGTCAAGAAATAACAGAAAATGAATTGGAATCAGATATCATATCAATTGAAAACGGAATTTCTCATAACATAAACAGAAACGACGTATTTGACAACTGTAATGTGAAAGAAATTATAATAATGGATCAATATCATTTGTCTGTTTATGAAAAATGTGAATTAGAGTCGACTCCTGTTTATGTGAAGTCATTCAAATTAAATTCAACAAACAAAATGGATGAATTTTTCGACGAATTACCTGCGTCCGATTGTGAAAACATTGTAGATGAATTTTCTTCGTTCAAAAATCCCAGAAAAGTACTTGAAGAAAACTTGATTACAAAATTACCTAATACAAATGAAGATATAATAGAAAATGAAATTTTACCAATTCAGTTTAATGAAAGGGAATTTTCATTAAATACGAATGTTTTAAAAATTAATGAAAATGTCGCAAATGATGCAGTCGGATCAGAAGAGTTTGATAAAGGTAAGATCTCTAATATTTGATAGTTTATGTCCGAACTTCTCTTTATTTGAATAACTCAACGTTTTTATTCGTATTGCTTAAATTTATAACTGAAAGTAATTCTGAAACAATTTAAATATATTATTAAGCATTTAAAAACTTTATTTTTGTTNTGTTCATGTGAAATCATTAGAATTAAATTCAACAAACAAAATGGATGAAATTTTTGACGAATTACATGCGTCCGATTGCGAAAACATTGTAGATGAATTTTCTTCGTTCAAAAATCCCAGCAAAGTACTTGAAGAAAACTTCATTACAAAATTACCTAATACAAATGAAGACATAATAGAAAATGAATTCTTACCAATTCAGTTTAATGAAAGCGAATTTTCATTAAATATGAAAGTTTCAAAAATTAATGAAAATGTTGCAAATGATGCAGTCGGATCAGAAGAGTTTAATAAAGGTAAGATCTCTGATATTTGATAGTTTGTGTCCGATTTTTTCTTTATTTGAATAACTTAACGTTTTTATTTGTCTTACTTAAATTTATATATGAAAGTAATTCTGAAACAATTTAAGTATATTATTAAGCATTTGCACATCTTCAATTTTTAAAGATTATTCGCTTTAATTGTTTATCATATTAATAAAAAAATTTAAATTAAAGTAACACGTTTTATATTTTTCTATAATGTATACAGAGACTTTTGCTAATGAAAAGCAATTTTTTAATTTTGTGTTTACTATATTATGTTTGTTTTATTTTATGTTTTTTTGTATACTATTTTATGTTTGCTAGAATTGTTTAATATATCATTTACATTTAAAGGCGGCATTATAATGTTTAATTAATGAAAAATACAAATTTAATTGAAATAAAATAATTGATTTTTCAGAAAACAATAAGAAAAACGAAAAGGACAAATTCCAAATAGTAAATGAATTTCCTGATTTGGAAAAAATCAATTATGGTGGCTCTCGATGTTTAGTGGAAGAAGAATCCAAGCCACAAACAGGAAAAAAAGTGAGAAAGTGTTTTATTGTTGTTTGTATTTAAGAACTGATTAATATCTTTACGTTTATCAACAACATTTTGATTTCAAAATTTAATTAATCTAAATTATAATATTGTATTCTACAGGAAAAAAAGTGAGAAAGTGTTTTATTGTTGTTTGTATTTAAGAACTGATTAATATCTTTACGTCTATAAACAACATTTTGATTTCAAAATTTAATTAAACAAAATTACAATATTGTATTGTAATTGGAACAAAATAGGCAGAGTTTGAATGTAATTCTTTAAATTATTTAATTAATTCAAAACTCCGTATTAGAATTGAAAGTGTTATCATTTAAAGATGTTACTAATTATAATCAGCAAGTTTGAAATAATCGAATCTAATTAAAGTGCGTTTGGAAATGTTCATAAATTCCATTGAATTTTCGCGTTTATTTATTATTTTAATGGTACCTACATATAACTGTTTTTGCTTTTCATGTACCAAATTTTCAACTGAATTAAATCAGCCATTTGTGATCATGTGATTTAATTTAGCCTATTTGCAATAATTTTGCAATAATTAACTTTTCGTTTTTATTTATTTAAATCTGGTTTACTCTAAAAAATTAAACAAATAATTTAAAACTGTATGTTTGAGTTGTTATATTAATTTGGAATTATTTATTATTTTTTTAGATTTAAGTAAATTTAAAATTTTATATATAATTTCACTAATTATATACAATATATTTTAAAATGAGTCTTATGATTGTTGATGTATGAAACTCTTTTATAACCTTTGTTTAGAAGGAGACAAGATGCATGGACGTCTTCAGATACGTTCTTCGCAGGCTTGGAAATTTACTTCTCCCTTGCCTGAGAACAAAAGATTAATGACTTCTTCAATGAAAGCTGCACGTGAATTAAAAAATGAGTATAATTTGCCGTGCTGTAATCACTATACTTGATAAAAAAATATCGTGATTATATTTTTAATTTGATCTTTTTAAAATTCTATTTGATTATTGTAAATAGTAATTAGCAAACATTTAAATAAAAATAAAAAATTTTCCTTTGGTTGGTGTTGCATTTTTATTGAATTTTCGCCATTCTTTAATGTCTTAAATGTCTTCCAGGTTTAAGTATATTCTTCGAACAATAGTTTTAAAAGCAAAAAAAGATCTTATAAGTTTATCTTATCTATTTCGTAATATATGAGATTTTGAACACATTTGCTGCTTACATTCTCCTCCGCAAGTGTCAGCTATTCTTATAGAGAGATTATGATATTCAGCCTTGTTTTTCAGGAGACACAGTTTGAACTACTGCAATACAGTGACGGGAAACGAATGTTGTAGAACTTTTATAAAAACCATAAGTAAGCGGGAACATAATACATAGATATTTGACAGAAAGTACACTTCAACGACGTTTGGTATTGTTATAGAAAAGATTTTACACTAAGCCGATGGCAATGGCAAGATCAATATTATCTTGCTTATATTTGAAAATACAAAGGGTATAAAGGGATTGCAACTTTTCATTTTCTTAAAAGTTGATAATGGAATATATGTCTGGAATCAGTGGATGCTTGAGAAATGATTTCCTGCTATATTTCGATGACATCTGGAGTAGTAATTTCTTGATATATCAATTATTATATCGTATTTTCTTTTGGAGCTAAAATGTATGAGAAATACTCGGGATATGTTCAACTAACATTATGTACAAATTTCATATATTATTATTTTAATTCTCTAATCGACAATAATTAATTATTGAATAGTGCTTGTGTTTGATGTGTCTAGAATTTCACTGCGAAAGCTAAAAACATTGTCTAAGAAGCTAAGGAAATTTAAACGCACAATACAGTAAAGAAAAATAATAAACCGCGAATAAATATATCTCCAGTTTCTAGTTTATTGAAATATCAAAGAATAATTTACTTACTAGCAACATTTTTTAAAAGTTCGATTTACTGCAAGAAACTAATAAAATTCATTTCAAAATATATTTTATGAAAGGACGTCTACCAAAATTCGTGTATTAAAATTAATAAAACTTAGAATTTCAATAATTGCTATTTACACTATAAATAACACAGTTACTACTACGTATAAAGTTTCAATTCATGAAATTTTATTATATAATAATGATGTAATACAAACACTAAAGTATTCAGATATAATTGACAACAAACACGACTCAATATTAATATTAGTGTAGTATTATTATGTTAATAAAGTAATAATTATGAGATGAAACAATAATTTATTCTTTCAGTTCAAACTGGTAATTCAAGGAATTTTTCAGAGCTTTGTCCGTTTCAGAATTACTTTCAGAGCTTTAAGTTACTTTCACGATTCTCAACGGCTAGAAAGCCAATTAAAGTATCGCAGTAAAGTATCCGGTAAATAGTGGAGTTAAAACTCGAATATTAAATATTAATCCCAGGGCATTTTTTACAATTTGCGGTTGTCATAGCTGGAATCTGTTGTTGGTAGACGCAGCTAATTCTTCTGTGGCAGCAAAAACATTTTTTTAGTTTTATTCAGAAAATTTATTTGCTATCTTCAAGTTCCAGCAAATGCTGGGAATTAATCAAAGGTAAATTAAAGCTTACTACGAAGCCTTTATCAGACACAAGGTGAGAAAGCAGAATCGAGGCAGCGAAGGCCGTATTATTGCAATTTGACGTTGAATGCATCGAAAGCTTAAAAAATCAAACGGAACAATCAGACACACTCAGTGATTGTGATTCGGTTTTAAACGAAATGCTCAGTTTAGAATTTATCATATCATTACATGTATGGTATGAGATATTATCGCGTGTTAATATCATAAGCAAATTATGGCAATCTTTATAAGTCCATTTAACTTGCATTCAAAATCTTATAATAATTCGTTATAGCTAGGAACATGAAAAAACGACAAAGCGGAACGTTCGAAATTAGGCTGTTATTTTTGTAAAATTTAAAATGGGTATTTCATAAAGAAAAATCAAACTTTTATATATGATAATTTATCAGAGCATTTATCAAGTTCGAGAACAATATAGAAGTTGTTACTGTATCAAAGATAATAGTAAATGTACAGTCATAATATAGCATAATTAAATAAAACAGCAAAACATAATTACATGATATTTATTTAATTTGCTACAGCGTTAATTAGTGGTAAAAAAATAAAAGAAATAGAAAGAAGAGAAAATACACAATTACGAATATAAATAATATTCGTAATTGTGTATTTTCATTATCATCTCTCCTCCTCTTTCTCAGAAGAAAGAGAAGAAAAAACAAAAATATAAAAATTTAGATTGCTTTAACATCTCAGAAATACAATGGAATCGGTCACAGAAAAAAATTCGGATTTTCGAGTTACGGAGGTTCCGCTAAAAATCAAGATTTTGCTCATTAGTTTATTGGTGATCCGTAATAAATTATCCATTCAATATTTCCCTGGGTCTTATTACGTGAAATCTTTGCGTCAATGCAAACTTTTTGGTATCGTCCAGAAATTCGAAAACGCTTAACCGAATGGTTAAATAAGCTAATGAGAAATGCTTTACCAAATGATTGATCCGTACACAGGTTCCACTGTAGTACAAGAGTGTCAAATGCTACAGATTAATTCAAACTGTTTATAAAAACGTGCAAATATTTGTAAGCTTCCAGTTGTTAAACTGCTAATTGAACAATTCGACTGAATGCATTCATTATCCACTTTTTCGATTGAAATGCTAGTAACTTCGGGGAAGAAAATGTAATGCCATCGTAGATTTGATAATTGTCTGATATAATTAGAAATCATTTCTCGTTTCGTGTTAAAGAATTTTTCTCTGGTAGAGGCAAATCTTTCCTGCTTTTTTTTTAATCTTCTCGATAATACTAAGACTCCCGACTCTCTGGATAATGACTGTCAGGATTCAATTCGCTATTATGTTTATTTAAAACAATCCATTTTTCTTCATTATTATCGTTTGAAATGTTCCCAATTAGAGATATACTCGATTAATTAAAATTGAAAAACTGATATTAAATATAAAAATTTTATTTTGATTATACTACATAAATTTTATCTATTGGTATTTATTAGTGTTGCAACGAATAGTATATTCGGCCTCAGGCCGAATACCGAATATTTGGCCAGGAGCGTGGCCGAATAGCCAAATATTCGGCCAAACTATTCAGCTTGATTAACGCACGTACGAAAATTGGCTCGCAAACCGCATTATGGCAAGGACCCTGCTCACTATTGGCTCGCTGTCACTATGCTTCGCCAATCGCGTTAATTGTTGACAGTTGTAGTGGACAGACAAGAGCGTCATGGCAGTATGTGATAAATGATGATATCAAATGTGGATAACAACGAAATGATCTACACGTGTAAATAACGGAAAAAGAACAGAGAAGGACCGCGAAGTGAAAATGTGAAAATAAATATGAGTTAAATATGAGTTAACATAATCGAACAAGTCGAGGCAGCTTATTGGCGCGAAATTCGCGACCGTCAATGCCAAACAATCGTTGTCATAGACTTCGGACAGCTAAATGCTTGTAATGAAAGTCACTTAGCGTGCACGGGAGAAAGCCTGGGGTCGTTCGGGCTACCAAGCTGTCTCGAATCTGTGAAATCATAACTGTGACTTATATCGACGTCCTATCTGTCTCTTTTCTCCGTTATCACCAGGCTGAGTCACGTAATTGTAAAATGGGAACTCTACGACGGAAAAGTGACGAATCGAAAGTATCGTGAGCGCGTA